ACGGGTATATTCCTCTTTCGAGAAAATCAGTATCTAAATTATTTCGCCAATTTATCTCGTTTCCACGATCGAGTGGAAACTTATCACAAATCACACATCTTCTATTCTGATCTATACCGTAGCAATACAACGATCATTGAAATTGACAGGAAGAACTGATATTTCTGAGTATTTTTGCAAAAAGAACATACGCGGACAAACAAACGGTGAATAACGGCCGAACTGATATTTAGAACCGATTGTACTTCAACGCGAATATACCGCAGATCTACAAATGATTGATAATAAAATCAATGTGTGAGTCTGCAGGTGAATGTTTTTAGGTGAACGAAAGATTTTAGAAATAATTGCAAGCAGGGAGGAAAAGTTACAAGCGAATACACGATACGCCATAAAAACGAAAGAATAGTGACGAGCGCAGCTGTCACGGAGCAAGTACGGTCGCGGTCAGAAAGGTTGTCCGACGTTTTACAACAAGTTTTCAGAATATTCGTAAGTATCATTGCATAGATATTTGTACATATCATTCCTTTGCTTTAATAACGCGTCACTGCACATATCCGTGAGCAAGAGCTACAATCTCTCGCGTGATAGACTGTATTTCTGAAATTTATCGCAAAACGTCGGACAGCCCTTCCGACCGCAGCCGTACACTAGAAATCACCGATGCCTTCCCACATGAATGTGTGCACGTATCGACGCATTCGTACATTTTGCATACACACACATGGAAAATGTATATGCGTTTCACCTGTGTCTAAATTCGTGTGGGAAGACATCAGTGACTCCTAGGCCCAGGTTTTCATTTTCTGGTTAACTGTTAACCGGAAGTTAGTCGACTCTCCATCTTTTTCTATGTTATTATCTGAGAAGAGACAGAGAGTCGACCAACATCCGATCAACAATTAGCCAGAAAATGAAAAACCGGGCCCTAGTGTACAACTCTTTGAGTTGTGATTGGTGGAAACCAGCCGCCGTCTGTTTCGTCGCGCAGAAACGACAGTCAGCCGATTTTTTCGAAACACGCTGATCGAAATCGCAAGTAATTTCGCGATAGGTTCGTCTCGCCGGGACGTGAGGGAAAGGCTCCCCGCGTGTGAACGTATGCAAAGTGCCGAGGTGACATTCCAACTGGTGAAACTCGTTAAACAATCAAGTGGAATGGTGATTCATGCTGACGTTAACGCGGAAAGGGATCCTCTGCTCGGTACAAAGCTGCGACTCTCTTTCTGCGATTTCTCGTGTCCAGGTATCGCAATTTTCTCGTTTTCGAGTTGCACTTCTCGTTTGTATTTCCTAAAAAACAGTTTCCTATTCCTAAGAGAGTTTGGAAACAACCGCTCTGTCTCGCGTTCTATAAATATTTAGTTAAGTATCTGTAGATATTTCTAATTGGCAATGCGCGATTCGTGATTTGTGATGCGTAGAAATTCGTTGGACATTCGTTATTATTTACCACACTATTGGTGATTCGCGGTTTATCATTCGTAATTACAGGACTTGTATCATAAGTCTACAATTAATCAAGTTTCAATATTAATAGTAAAATAACCCGCTATTTTCGTTAAAAACCGCTCGGTCAGCGAATTAGTACGATAGGCGAATTGCGCATAGTGTAGCGTTAACTTAAAATATCCGGTAATTATCTGAGAATTAGCCACGACGATGAGTAGCTTCTTGGAAAATTGCGGACGAAATAAAGTCGTCAGCGATGACGAATCCTCATTCATCGGCGGCTGTTCTACCGGCCAAGCACGATGCAAGAATTATTGATGACAATTTGAATGTTACGCGATAAATCGGTCGTATAAACACGACGTGTACAGTGATGGACAGAGTGGTTGCAGCACTTTTCTTTAAATGAGTTTAGGAACGCGTATTTAGATTCAGGTTTATGTTTCAAAACATTTTTTCTAAGAAAAATTTTACTTGAGAATTAGATTGAAAACGCTCAAAATGGTTTTGGAATGGCTGTCGAGTAACATATTCCTCGAAGAAGAAGATTTTGGGACGTAACTGTAAAATCAGTAAGTAAAATCGCGTCAGTTTTTTTTTCCATCGTTTACCTCGAGCGTTCAAGACTCCTATTCACTCGCTGCGGTTGTCTTGGACCGATGACGTCAGAAGCGAGAAAGTGATCATGAAAATTCTTGTAACGTTAAAATAAAAATGTTTTTCACCAAAACAGCGTTCGAAATCGATAGAATAGACTCGTAAAATATACCAAAAGCTCCCCTTTTGTTTTGGACAATCAAATAAATAACCCACATGCGTCGAATTGAATTGCACCTAATCAAGAACGAGAACAAGCCGTTTGACAGTTGCGGAATTTAAATAAATATTTGCGTTTATATCAAGAGGCACGGATAGTGTCTCGCGTCAAGTATATGCGTAGCGAATATACGTGTACTGTGTACATTTGGAACTTGCTTCAAATTATTTAAAAATAATTACTTATAATGTAGTTTTAACAAAATACTTTTAGAGATTCTCGGTAAGTAACAAGTAAAAATTTTCATATTCCAATGAACAGCGCATTAACTGTTAACAACACAGCGGAAAAATCAAGTATATAGATAAGTCGTACTGTTAAATCAGTGCATTTTTCTGTGCCCAGGCAATACGCGTGTTAAAGACATCTTCAAGACGTACGCATTATTTTCTAAGATTCCATTCATTGTAAAGTGACATTAACGTTTTCTACAAACACAGCTAACTTTGTCTTCCATTTGTCGTTTCCATTATGCACGGTTTTATATAATATTAATTCCAAATTTAAGTAATCGATTAATCTATAGTATAATTTGGTAGCGTAACATTCAAATTGTCATCAATAATTCTTGCATGTTACCAATATTTAGACAAAATGCCATCCCTCAGCTTTTGACTTCTTACCAGAAATATTTGGAAACGCTTCTTCACGTGTCTCTTTACGTCCGTCTGTACCTTCTATACATATTCAGTAAGTGATACTCCACAATAGAGGACAGTTGTAATAGCAGAGCACAAAGAAGATGAGTGGCTATTGCAACATTATATTTGCATATTTATGTGCCAAGAGTGCTCTTTAGATTTCGCGAATTATACAAATAATGTTCAACCGACGACAAAAACATTGACAAAATTAAAAGAGCACTTATGCCCTAAACATCCGAAAACATAATGACCGCCTGAAAGACTTATCAAATAATGATCTACTGCAATGTTATAGTTCGAAAGTAAAATGTCAAAAGTGTGATACAGGGTTCGAGAATAATCCGAATACTTTCCAATCGTACGACTAAACATTAATAAAATTGAAAGAGCACTTGTGCGATAAACATAACAAAAAATATAATCCCGAACGTAACACAGGATATAATGTAATTAAAGAAATAAAGGTTTTACTACTTCCTCTGTACTAGAGCATTATTCATATTTCAAAGAAGATGTTGTAATATGCAATAATTGCTTTCAAATAATTTATGTCGACTCGAAGTACAGTAGATTATTTAACAATCTATATAGGCACTTAAAAGATGAACAACGCAGACAAATACACAGAAGAATAACACAAACTTAATGTGGTATTGGGACCATTTTACAGCAACGGAAGAGTTGTACTGGAAATGCGACCATTGTAAGCAAAACTATACATAACTCAGTGCGTTATATCTAATAATCAAAATTTTGCTCATTATATATTTATTCTTTCTACGCGTATACTTGGCGTTTCTTGTACCTTTTTAAAAAGGTAACTTTTTAAAGATAACTTTTAAAAAGGTTGTTAGGTATTAAATTACACCAAGTGAGAGTCTTTGATTATTTTAACACTACATAATTTCTTTATATTATAGTAATAATATAATATAAATAAGTGTATTGCTAATTATTTCAAATATAAATATCTAAAAATGCCGTACATTGCACGAATAATTTCGCTTTTTGACGCCTCGTAGTTCAATTTTGCTAATGTGTACACTGCGTGCACTGTTATCGCGGACTCGGCAATCGAGCCAGCAGGAGCCTTGATTCTCCCTCGTTGGGAGATGCGCGCTTCAGGTTTTAAATCTGACCTCTCCGACGTCAGCGACGTGCGCGACGTACGGGCGACGCATGCGCCCATCTCTCTCCCTCTCCACGCCACCGTCTCGCGGATCTATTCGTACATACATGCAGCCGGTATTAATCAATCACCTGTTTCATCCTGTACGCGCGTCGATTCTTTCTTTTTACGAACGCGATCAATCGCTGCGCGCACGAGGACCTCGACCCGCTGTGAACGGAAGCGAACGGAGCACCGAAGAAAACGTGAGTGGAAAACATATTTTGGCGTGTGTACAATCGCTGCAGAACGACGTGACGCACGTGCGTTGCGGCGAATAAATTATGAAACGACAATTAATTTCGAACCGTCGCGAGGATGTCTCTGCCCGAGCGAGAAATGACTCGTCGAACGATGTCGAAATGATGTCGAGTCTACATCGACATCGTCAAATCGACGTCGATTCGATATCGATCGTGGATTCGATATCGATCGTCGACTCATTTCTCACTGGGGATTCCCTCGTCGTCGTAGTCGGAAATCGGAGCGGCGTTTGTAAATCGGGGAGAACGATGTATCGCGGAAGAATACGACGATATTTAGCGCGATGTAAAATGTTTGCGCGGTGCTTTTAGATTTAATGTAATTAAACGTGCCGCACGAGGTTACCGAGACGAGTTACCGAACGGTAAATCCGAGGCGCAACGTAACGACGTCCTCCATTAACGCGGGCGCAGTCAGCGCTCCACTCCCACGCTCGCCCCAAACATCGTTTGTCGCGCGAGAGATACGTAAACAAAACGTATCTCTCGCGCGCGAGAGAAGGTGCGCGTTTATATACGCGGAAGCCCACGCGCGTTTATACGCCCGCGTCACCGCGATTTTCCTCCAGTCATTGCGGCGCAGTTTGACTTGGCCGGTGGTTTTTCCTCCTCCGCCTTCTTCCCCTCTACCGTATGTTCCGAGCGCGAAACGCGTTTGAAATAAATAAAAAAAGAGCTCGCGCACACCGTCGCGCAAGCGCGCGCCCGACGCTACGTCTCGCCGTGTCTTCCTCTCCCGAATGTCGGGCTCGTTCGCCGAGGGTGCGTTTATCGGACCTCCGTACGCATGCAGACCGCGATAACGCTCGACGGAGTGTAAAAGGCCCCTCGCCCGGAAACGCCGCATCCGCGTCCCTACGGTAAGACGAGCCCCTCTTCCCCCGTCCGGCGGGACGGGTCGTGTACCGACCGTCCCGGTCGAGGAATTAGGAGGTTAGGAGGAGCGAGGTCGCGTTCAATTCGAACGATTTGGAGTCCCTTTAATCGCAGTCTGGCCAACAGGCCCAGTTTCGGCGAAAGATGCGAGAAGGAAAGAAATATATTCCCTCTCACTCTATATACAGCATACGCGTCATGTAGAGTGAGAGGGAATATATTTTTCTTTCCCTCTCGCATCATCTCGCCGAAATTGGCCTGTTGGCTAGACTCTGAGACAGGGTTGGGAAGTAATTCGTTACTTGTAACGAAGTTGCAGTTGCAGTTACTTTTTTTTGGCAACTCTAACTTAACCTCGTTACTTTCTCTACTTTATATATTTTTTAAGGGGATGCTGGAGTCATTCTACACTTTTGCACCTTTTTGCTCTTAGAACTGTCAATTCGTGACAACATTTGTGTAATATACAAATTATACGGCTTTTGTGTACATACGAAGCGACAGTGTTCCACTAATCGGACTAAATCAGAGAACAGCATGGTATCATTGAAATTAAGTTTAGAAGCCTAACAAAAAATCTATTCACTCGAATAAGTTATAGGTTAGGTAACCTATAACTTGTTCAAGCGAATAGATTATTTGTTAGGCTTCTAAACTTAATTTCAATGATACCATGCTGTTCTCTGATTTAGTCCGATTAGTGGAACACTGTCGGTTCGTACACAAAAGCCGCATAATTTGTATATTACACAAATGTTGTCACGAATTGACAGTTCTAGGAGCAAAAAGGTGCAAAAGTGTAGAATGACTCCAGCATCCCCTTAAATCTCCACAGATCGCATTCGGCCTTGCTTTTGCGCATAAACGCCTTTATCGACACTTCACAATTCAAATGCAGATTTGACATTTTAAATTTTATATTGGGAGAAAGTGATCATTTTAGACAATGTACCTCATTATCGTAAAAGATTAATTAACAAAATGGTAAACATCAAAGAACAAGAAAATGGAATTAACTCTCAAAATGACACGGATGACTCTTATTGGATTATTGGATGACTCTTATACCGAATTATTCAAAATCGAGGGTGAAACCGCTGAGGGCATTGTGGTATACAGATTTGCGGCATTACTGGACATTACTACGCATTGTTTAGGCATTAGGCCTTGCTGGGGCATTATAAAGATAAAATAAGATAAAACAAGATGAATAAGATAAAATGAGATAATAAGATAAAGTAATACCCACTGGGCATTAGTGGGCATTGGTGTACAAGATTTTAGTCAGCGGTTTCCCCTTCGTTGAAAATGCTTGCCACGCCATCGACATAACGCTTGTTTATAAAAACATTTTAGAAACAAATTCCCTAGGTTGTTACAATTAACATAGCGAAATTGGCTTATTGTTAGTCGAGAACAAACAACCGAGGATGTAACACTACGTAAGTGACTCTGAACGTTTCGACTATCTGAACTTCGAATTTCTCTCGATGTATTTAAATTCTTGACATGCACGACACATATATTAAAATTTAAAAGATGGAATTTGTACTTTGCAACGTGATACATCGTCTGTAGTATTGTAAAAAACTGCGTACTTAGTTTCTTAATGTAATTTTATATGCTGAAGAAGGCACTGTGTTACCGAAACGCGTACATGTAAATTTTATGAAATTGTGAAATTAAATTTTACGTTCATTATCGAACATCCAAATTTCTGCTTGTTGAATGTTATTTGGCCGTTAGGTCAAAATTTTGTCATTTTTATTTTTATTGCAAGAAAGTAACTACTAAGTAAAGATTCGTTACTTTTTGAGTAACTGTAACTATTTTTAACGAAAAAAAAAACTATAACTAATGTAACTATAACTAGATACTTTTATAAAGTAACTTTCCCAACCCTACTCTCCGAGGGTACTATTACATTTGTTATACGACAAATTTTTTAAGCGTACTGATTGGCCACAAGCTGGAAATTTTCTAGATACTCGAGGACTTTTCTATCCTGCAGCCAATCAACACTCTTAAAAAATTTGTCGTACGGCAAACGTAATACTATCCTGATTAGAGAAACTCGAGAACTATTCGAACGCAGGGCCGGTCCCCGCCCCCTCCCCGTCCCCTGGAGACGGCACGATCGTCGGTTCCGCGTCGACACTCGGACGACAATTGGATGTTTCCACCTTTCCCGTCTCCGCGAGAAAATTCCTCTCTTGCCGAGGTGTTTCAATTCGCGCGGAACGGGTGTTCTAATGCAAGACCTCTTTTCAACACGGAGTCTTGAAACCAATGCCTCCCCGCCCGGCCCCGCGCGGGCGAACCTTGTGCTCCGGGATGTCTCGCGAGACCGTCTCACAAATTGACGAAAAGTGCGCGCGAGACGTGTGTACACTATATACGTAGATATATATGTATGTATTGGATACGTAAAAAGCATTCAAGTTCCAAAAGTGCGTGCGACAAAAGTCTTACGCACTTAAAAGTGGTATACAGCGGAGGAGTAGAAAGCGAATTATAATTTCGATAAATACAATAAAATTCTGCGCGAATATCAATCAGAACGTATTTTTATACAAACTGATGTGTTTTCAGGACATACTGCAAAGCGCGTGCTTAGAAATAATATAATTTGTGCGATCGCCGAATGCCAGTTGAGCCCAATAGTTCAAAAGATGAGCTTTTCAATTCGATAATTGATCATTGTGGGAATAAAAGTTTTTCACTAATAGAACGTCTCGTGCTATTTTGCCCTGAAAAGGGGATTCCTTAAAGCAAGTTTTGACTTTTTAAACATTTTTTAACACGCTAGAGCAAGGATTCGTTGTTAACTTAATTTCGGCCAAAACGTCACAGGTCCTCTTTTTCCTCATCGTTTAATTTTTTTGAGCAGGCCGACCAGCACGTATCGTACACTGTATCTTGGAGTTGATTCTTCATTGTATAACAAGCTCCAATTGTCGCATCGTCATTGTCACGAATCAACATAAAGATTACTGTCTGCAGTACGAATATATAAACTCGCTGAAACTAAAGTGTGAATTGAAAAAGAACTCGTTTCAGTTTCAGCTGTACTTTTTCCGCATTTTAATTCTTTCGACTAGACATTTCAATTATAAAAAGAAACTTTTATAAATCACTAATTTCTTTCTAAAAATGATGTTACACGTGTAAATCTCGTCACACTAGAAAATATAATATCCACTAAGAAAATAATACTGTCAAGTGTTGAAAGGTCGGCAAAAACTTGGCAAAAATAATGAATTCTGTAATATTGCTTCTTGCGCGCTAATACCAGATTGCTACGAGATTGGAGCTGATACGAAATAGAGTGAATTTTGAAAAACGAGAGCAAGGGAGGACAGAGAGAGAGAGAGAGAGACTATAAAATGAGGAGAGAACTATAAAATGGGAGAGTGGAAAGACGAAAAACCGGGGCCGCGAGCCGAACGTGTCGCGCGTGTAACACGCGTACGGAACGAGAGCGCGCCTCGGTAGGTTTTAACCCTGAGTTCACTCGGATATGATTTAATTTAACCGCGGCTCTCGGCAATGCGACCGTTCAATCTGTCTCTGTCCACCGACGGGCGCGCGCGAGCCGTTCCGACGATCTCTTCCTCGTCAACACTGTCGGTCTCCTTGGCCTTTCCTCGGTACGTAAAAAGAAAAACGCATATCTTCAAAAGTGTTCCGCTTTCATGTGTGATTGCACGTTGGTAGGATAAGTTAATTAGCAAGTTATTTACTCACGATTTCCAACGAGACATTTAAAAGTGGTGAATGAGAGACGAAGAAGAATATTTTCGTCTATAGCACTTGTTTTCGTAGTATATTTTTCAAGATACGTAATGAAAGGTCATGTTGGAATAGTAATCGGTCAAGTTCAATCGCGAAACTACTTGAGGAAGGGGAAAGAGGGAAGACGCGAGAGAGAGAGAGAGAGAGAGAGAGAGAGAGAGAGAAATTTAAGAAAACTTTTGCAACAACGCATTTAATAAAAAATGAATGAAATTTTTTTAATCTTGTAAAATCTTTAGAAATCTCGCCAGAAGACAATACACGACCGAAATGTGGTAATCGTCTAAGGCTTAACTTTAATCTTATTGTTTAATTCATGTTTGTCTATTACTAAAGTAACAGTTGGAAAGAGATAAAGAACAAATTAAGCTAAGCTCAAAGTTAAACAACATTGGTGAGACCGGGCCTAAGAGACGTCCCAATTTTTCAGGTCGCCTCCAAACTCTTACGTTTAGACTTTTTAATTTTTGCACAGTCTGGCAAGGTTCCCTCCCTCTCCCTCTCTCTCTCTCTCTCTCTCCCGTAAATAACTTGCCGCCTGGTACGCTTATATATTGACTCTGTATATTCGCACGACGGTAGGGACAGATTACAGATTACCCACTAACTATTCGGCCCGGGAGCGACGAGGCCCGGGGAGACCTCGGTGCTCTTTAATGAAATAGCCATCCTGTGGAGTGCAATGAAGTGCAATGAATGAGAGAGCCGTGTGTTGCGAGCTGTGTGATATCATCAGGGTATCAAACGCCTCGAAAATCTTTTTACGTTGCAAATAATTTCCGTGCTTTTTGTTCTCGTTAGTTAAAGGCGTGACAACAATTGTCGTAGTGACCCCGTTTTAACAAATACCCCAGATACGTTTATGTTTAAGCCCAAGTACGTAAATATGTAATGATGACGTAGAAACGCGACAAATACAAAAAAGTAAATATTCATTAACAAATGCATATATATGCATCTATATGCATATTTAACGCTTCTCGATAACTTTTATTATTTATTATTTTATAGTATTTGCTACGCTATTTTGTTAGATATTTACTAATATAATGGATTTATCTCTATAAGTCATAGTACATAAATAATCTATTGATAATTATCAAATATATACGTACACAATTCGACAATTGTTATTGCATTATTTATATACTTCAATAAGGATAAATCCAGAGAGATTGTCTGTGAAACAAAAACACCTCAACAGCCATTCTGGATGCAGATATACGTGAGACGTCACATTTGATGCGCGAAGAATGAGATATGCGATGGAATGCTTTGTGCAATCTTGTGGCAGCCGTGTAGCAGAGTCATTTTTCACGACCATTACGGCTTAGAGAAATATAGGCGAAGTGTCGGTCTCTCATGGTGAAGTGCGCCTTGATCCACATCACGTCGATATCACGAAACTGCGAGAGACTCCTACGTGCGTGGAAAACGGATGTTCCGTTTGCCATATTTAACGTGGTCGCGCGATTATACTCTACTACTCTACACGCAATCATAGGTTATTTCTGGACATTTGTTCTGGACAAACCAATGAGAGAAAAGTTATATGTGCGGTAGTGTAGCTTTGATACACTACCATACGTACAACTACAGTACGTAAACACACAGACATTGTTGGATTGCTGCCTAAAATAATGGCGGAATACCACGTGATCGGGACCGCAAAGATCAAATGGCCCGACAAAGAGTGGACCTACTTAGTTCTACTAGGATTCACATTTTCATAATCTTTATTCTCATCTATACATCGATGAATTTCAGGTTGTAGTTTACACAGCTTCTATAGAAGTCCGTGGTAGTGCGTACATACAGCCTGAAACTCAGTGATTTGTATAGATGAGAAAAATGATGATCAAAATGCAGGTCCAGGCATTAATGAATAAGACTGAACTTGAGATGGCCATAAATATAAGAGTAGACCTTACCAAATTAAAAGCTCGTTTTGGTTTATGACAACCGTATCATAAGTTGAATGAACCAATATTGTGCCTATGAGAACTATAGTACATTGTTAGGTCAATCATAACTTACGTAGTCGGAAGAATTATAAAAATGTGGTTGGCTCCTAAAATGATAGTGAGATTGTGGTAACTGCGACTATTTTTTTCTGTCTGTGCATTTGATATCTGATCCGAATTTGGTCACCTTACCCTACGCGTTGTGTCAGTATTCCGCAATATTTAATGAAAACGTGCGTTGTTTTGGCAAAACAATGTAATCGATCAATTCGAAAATTTCCAGTGAAAGTTGAAAGGCAACTACTGTAAATTCGACATGACTCCAATTAAATTCATTGAACTTTTGTGAAATTTATATCAGACAATTGGACGAAAACCCGACGCGTTCAACCGGAGCCACTTTTCTAGATTTGCAAGACACAAAATTGGATATTAGAAACAACATTCCGCGTTCCGATTATAATGCAACACATCTTTTCATTTGTACAACAATTATAATATATATCAATGCAGTAAAATAAGTACATAATTTTACTGCATAAATATTTAGAAAAAAACGAACGTTTTCGCAGCATCGTGCTTTTTATATCGGTCTACCAAAATATGAAAAATTTGCATATTGCGTGTCGCAATTTTACCCGTTAACATTTAGTTTCTAAATTAAACAACCTTGCGCTATTTATATTATAGTAGCGCGAAAATTGCTCCAAGTGGTAAACATCGCAATTAGCGCCCGTACTCTTCCACTTTCGTCGAAGAATATATTTATTATATATGCGCAACACGAAGTTCATGTAACGCAATTTGACATTCGCTGGCAAAGTGCTCGAATTATACATTCGCGCAGGTATCGCCTTTATGGAACATCCGCCAATTCGTATAATGATATTACGAAGCGTTCTTATGCAATGGTTAGTGCAACTCGCAAAATAGAGAGACTTTGGTGCGCGAAATTGAATAAACTCTGCTCTCTCGAAGGCGATAAGGCGATATAAGACCATTTCGCTTCTCTTGGATCAATAAAAACAAAATTACACAAAATTGTATTCTCTCTCTAAGAGGAATCCAGAGATAGCTTTCACAGAACAATATATATTTCAAGTTGAAAATATATCAGTTATTTCGCCTCTCATTCTAATTAGTTCCACTTAACTTGCTTCCAATCAATTAAACCGTTAAAGACTCTCTCTAATCGCTTCTGATTTTTACTAACTCTTCGACTATTTTATTATAGAAAAATCGTTTGTCGATGTAAATTGAGTATTCCACGAAAAATACGAAATCTATAGATCCACGCAGAATAAAATAAAAGATTTGGGAAGTTAAAAGTGCACTTCCATTGTGTAAACGTGGCGTAAAAAATACAGCTGAAACAAGTAGCGGTTCTTTTCAAAATTACCAAGTAACGTATAATCTCTCGTCAAACGCAGCATCGCTTCCTAGAGACGAGCCACTTTAGGTGTAGACAGCGATATTGATTTGGCAAGTACATCCTCAGAGAGGACAATGGCACTCCGTGCGTTAAATACAATCGTCCAACGACGCATGGATGACTCGAGTAACCCCACCGGAAAGAGCCAATGCGAAATCATCAAATGCGCGCGCGGCAGAGAATCGGCGGAGAAAGAAAGAGAGATAGGGGGCCGTCGACGGGAACGAAGAAAAATATTCCTACGCGTTGAATCCCATCGATTCAACGAGCGCCTCCGTCATCGCGTAAATTCCGCTTGGAGGACTTCAGAGGACCCGTCGCTGCGAAGATCCCCGGTCAAAACGCTGCCGCATAAAGGAGTGGCGACGCTCCGCTCGCAAAAAAGCCGCCCAGTGTCTCGCCCGGAGTCTGAATGCAAATGACTTCATCCCCGACACGCGGTGTTTTCCCGCGTGAGGGGTGGACCCGCGGGTGAGACGGTGTCCGAAAACTAAAGAATCGCGGCGCCAACGGCGAGGGCGATGCCGAGAAATATAGCGATGGCCGGCGGAGGAGAGGAGTTGGGGTTGATAGCCTGGCAGTTTCGAGGAGGCAAATGTACGTCGACGGTAATGGTGATGGTGTTCGCTCTTGCGGCCGAGGGCGAAGGAACGTGGCGCAGGGGGAGGGCTCCCCTCGCCCCGGTGCGCAGCCGGGCGTGCGATGCGTATATCGTTCTGGCGGAAAGCCCTGTACCGAAAGCTTCGACCGTGCAGTTGTCTGTGCCGGCCAAAGGCGTCGACGCGTTCCTTTGTAATTCACTCGATGCGTTACCGCCGGCGGAAAAGAGCTGATCGAACGTGATTTGTCATCGCGACGAGTAGGATTTTACTCGCAATTTAGCGGCTCTCGATCGTTTGCATTAACTCGCCTCGAGACGTCGCGTCGTGAAACTAAGAAATGTCTCCGAGAGATTTTCGTATTAATAGAATTTGAGATATCAGAATCCTATCTCATAATAGAGTATCAGAACCCTATCTCATAATAGAGGACTTTCCTCTAATAGTTCCGTGAGAAAACCAAATACAAATTTTCCGAAATTCGCGTACAGCAACTGATATTTTATACAAGTCATTATAATGATTTTGTATGTCATTATTTACTTCTTACAGTATCTCTTTAACTTTTTGAAGGAACTGTACGGCTTCCAATATCTGAAAAAGTGTGCAGATTTATTATATGAAGACACGAAATTAATATACCGATATATCGAAATCTTATTGTAACTGATTATTTTGTTTTTAATTGTTGATGCAGACTATAATGGCAAAGATGACAGCGGCGTTATCTCTGCTTACGGTGTACTTCGTTGTTACGACATTCGCCCTGAACAACGAGGAACTGGTGGAGCAGGAATGCCCTGTGGATTGCCACTGTCACTACTTTCGCGTTAACTGGGTGACGGACTGCTCGGACAGCAATCTGACGACCATCCCGTACAACGAGCTCAGCCAGAATGTCTATATTTTAGACATGAATGATAACAATATTGCAGACATCATTCCGTTTCCAAACTCGATCAAGTTGAGGCGTCTTCAAATGGCACACAATCAATTAACTGAGCTGACGTACGAATCATTTGCCGGGTTGACGTACCTCCTGGACGCGGACTTCTCATATAACGCCATTACGCGGGTAGATCCCGAAGCCTTTCGGTAAGATGATTCGATATCAATTATTATTCGCCGTTAATCATTCCATTCTCGAACGGGTGATGTGGATTTTGTCGATCATACGATTAATTCAACAGGGACAGTCCGGGTCTAATTACATTGGAGCTCCAACACAATCCCTTGGACGAGATCGAGGAACCTTTCCTGAATTGCCGCACGCTGCTGTATCTCGATCTGAATTCATGCGGTATCCGCCACCTCACCACGCGCTTCTTCTACAACACGACGAATTTGAATAAGCTCGACCTGTCGCACAATCCTCTGCAAAGGATAGAGCCGGGCCCCTTCGACCATCTGACGAATTTGGAATACCTCAAGCTGAACGGATGTAATTTAACCTACATATCGCCCGAGGCGTTTTCCCACTTGGAAAATTTGCGACAATTAGAGATAGCGGACAATGAATTGAAAACGTTGAATTGGAGGAGCGTTCTCACGCCGTTGGTACGGTTGGAACATCTGGACATCCGCAAGACCGGTATCACGAATCTACCGGGTGATGCCTTTGCCAAAAACTTATATCTTCTACAGTTGGTCCTCGCGGACAATGAATTGTGGCACCTCGATGTCGAGGATACGCTCGGCCACAATTTGCACAGTCTACAATCTCTAGACTTGTCAAATTGCAATTTGCAAGATCGCTTATCTGAGGAGGCTTTCAGAAATGCAAGCAAGTTACGCGTGCTCAATCTGAGCGGTAATCCAATGTTCGCCAGCGATTTAACTGCCGTTCTGCGCCATCTACCAAAGCTTCATAAGCTTTCCCTCAGCAACTGCAGTCTTCGAAGATTACCAAATACCTTTGATGTATTTGAACACCTTGAGGAACTCGATATTTCCCATAATCCATTATCCGACGCATTCGTCAGTCTTCTCAACCCGTTAAGCGCTTTGGAATATTTGGATATGTCGTATTGCGGTCTCGGTTATGTTGGAAATAAGACTTTCGCGCAAATGACCTTTCTGAAACAGTTGATTCTTTCGGGAAATGAACTGCATACTCTGGAGGAAGGATTGTTCGCAAATTTAACGCGCTTGGAAAGCTTAGAGCTCAACAATTGCGATCTCAAGACACCCATTGATCCAAAAGTCTTTGGTGACCGCCAATCGACTGACATAGTAGAACTCAAACTCAGTGGTAATCCGTTAATCGTACCTGATGAGGGCTCGCTACTTTCTACACAGCTGTCCAATTTGGAGATCTTGGACCTTAGCAACTGTGGCATCTCGCATTTGAACGAAGATTTATTTGCCACAACGAATAATCTCACTCAATTGAATCTTTCAGGCAACACAATATCTGGTGTGGAAAATCTGAGTTTTCTGAAAAAATTGCGCGCGCTAGAACATATAGAACTCAGTAACAACAAACTGCGCACGATCAATCCAAAAATATTCAAATTAAATCCACGGTTGCTGTCGGTTAATCTCATGGGGAACCCGTTTATTTGCAATTGCTCTATCGCGGAGACCTGGGATTGGGCTATACATGAGAAAGGTGATCTTCATGTGCTTGTTGGCAGCCAGCCGGCTAATTTTGAAACTGGTTCCGTAAAACGAAGAAAGACTCTCTCCTGCGCCTACGACGAAGAAACGTATCGGAACATAATAGACAGCAATCAGGCAACCACAAGCCGCAAACATTATCCCAGCCAATTTACGCCTTCTCGTACTTGGGCTAAATACGTTCGTGAGTCTAATTGTAATCGGCGTTTATGATACGCGGCAACTATCAAGTATCAACATCCGATGTTGAACGTTTACAACCGTAAGGTATGTAAGCACAAACGGGAACTTTGAGCAAGTTCTACGCTACTAAATACCATTGCAACATCGTCATATCAACAAGCCATAAACTAATATAACAATATTGTGAAATTTATATTTCCGTGGCACTATTTTTGTAGTCATAGGATTAAGGCAGATCTGTAATAGTTTACATATTAGAAAGTATCGTAAAGTATTTCCGTATTGAAACGTTACTAAGTCAAAAAAATACTCGGTTTTGTATATACATATATTACTCGTTTTTGTACATAGTATTATAATAATTCTTGTTCTCTCTCACTCTCGTCGATCAGACTACGTCTTCTACATCCAATTCAATAAATACTTAGCCGAATATTAGAATGGATGAGCTGCCAATGATCGACGATTAAATTAAAAAAAAAATTAAAGAGATTCGAAAAATCAGAAACAAATAATTTATTATAATTAAACTTTTATCTATCTATATATAAAATGTCATTTTTATTGCTAACAGATTCACCTTATCAAATATAAATTAAATCACGTTCTATTTAATTCAATTCTATTTAAGTGAATAATCTGAAACATCTCATATTTTTATATCAATTAGATAAAAAAAGCCATTATAAAAACCGTAAATAAGAAATTTTTTATGCATTTAGCGACTGGTTACATTCTAACCTTAGAAACTGTTTGCGAAATAATAGGCCATAATTGAAGCTAAATAATAAAGTGATATATATAAATATATATACATATACACGTTTAGTTAATAATTATATGTACAGCAGATAAAACTTGTGAAACGTGCTTGTATCGATAGTCACGCAATCGTCTTGCAATTACGTGATCCGTTCTTCTTAGATTCAATTAGATTGCCTTGATTTAATATTTTACTCACATCAGTGCTTAAATTTAAAGTGTTCAAAGTACATTTTAATTAAATACATTGAAAACACATAATTATGGATTTAATTCACTTTTGTTATCAACAATAGAATTTATCAATACCGTAATATTTATATTTGTATCGTAATGCGATATAAAAAAATGTTAATATTATCAAAACTTAATTCAATAATTATACCGTTCACGAAATGCAACATTACTTTGAATTCATTTTACATAACTTTGTGCAAGTATATTGATGGATACAGTGAACAATTCAATGATACATCAAAAATTGACTAGAAAGATCAGTTATGGAAGGTACATACATGGTTAAAGCGATTAAACGCGCAGTTACATGCAGTTCACATGTACACATACATACGAACACAATTGCGACATCGCATCCGATAGCGTGTGAAATGTGACCATGAAGACTAAATGGTTTCCCCCTATTTGAACTTCACAATAGCCACGGAAAATGCCTGATTATCACTACAAGCTGATATGTAACAGTATCTATTTATGACGTGGCAAATGCAATGGCTTCATCTTTAATTTGCGGTTAAAATGACTCCACGTGTCCTGTGGCTCTCCTATTTTTAAGTTAAGTTGTCTGTTATCTAACAATTGTTTACGATAAGTACGTGATGCGTGAAATATACAATTATAAACAAATTTGCAGGCTCTATAAAACTGATATAGTTGATCTTATAAAATTATCTAATGCATTTACAAAACTTATGTAGACTTATATTTATTAACTTCTGTATTACATATCCTAATCTAATTAGAAAGTTGTTCAGTAATTGTGAAGTGGGACCAATTTTCCTACTAATAAAATTGTACATTTTTTATTAAATGAATTTATATTCTCAGAAATATTATATTAAGTTAAATCTAATGGAAGAGAATACAATTATTATTTTAATACATATGACACATTTTTTTCATTGTATAAAAGTGTATCTTTTTTTTAGATGTATGTATGTCAAAACTTGCGCTGTATTGATTGTTGGAAATGTTGTAAAATTATGTTATTACGTATACCAATGTCTTATATTTATAATGTTTGAACTCGTATCAGCTGATACTTAAGAAAATTTTTTATCGTCCGCGATTGTTTATTAGAAGCTATCGTTTGATTTGAACTTGCAAATTTATAGATTTTTAATTTTAGAGTTTGCTGAATTTTTCAAATTAAAATTATAATTTATGTTATCATCTTATGTTCGTGATTATAAAATATTATGATGTATTATATAAATATCTGTGTTTTCCAGCAGCAGTAAATATTCTATGATCCCGCATTCAGGAAAATTATCTGTCCTCCTTATTTTATCGACAATATATTAGCGTTAATGTTGCACGACGTGAATAGAATAAGTTGAAACAACTTTTTTCATATTGTGCGTCCTCGTATAAACATCTATTTTTATTGTTTTAATATTAGACGATAAACCGACTTTAGATATTTGAGCCAAAGTGAGGGAGAAAGAGAATAATAGAAAGTACAATGATAAAATATAAAAAAAAGAGCGCGTCCCTCGCTTTCGCATTTAATCAAGATTAATCATTCAAACGTACACGTTCGATCGTGGAAAGGAAATCGGCGACCGTTCCCATCCTTGGATACATTGTACAACGCGGAAGAGCGCGTACTGAACTTTCATTTATAATCACAAAATGTAAAAGACTGTTGTTTAATAAAGCTGTCGTTCTCTTCTTGGTATACGCGTCAGCTTTCTCGCCTCCATCATCGCGATAAAACAGCTGCCCCTTACAGGTCAATCATGATAGCCAGTGCGGATAATCTAAATTGCATCGCCGTGGTATTGACGCTTACGTCAATGTAATGATAAACTATCGCCTCTATGAATACCTTTTAACAAGTTGCCATTCACAGATAGGTGGTTCGACAAAATTTTCTACACAGCAACGTGTAAAAAAAGATCGACGTTTTTACGCGTTATTAAAAATACTACAATAATTTGTTCTTACGAAATTAATGTTGCAGCTGCACAGTTGAAAAATTTGTGTTTTTAATAAATATTACATGTACCAAACGGTCCACACAATTTTGTGTTAATTTAACATAATATGGATATGTTAAATAATCACACTAATATTCTGTTAATATTTTAACACAAAATAAATGCAAATCTTTAAAAAATTTGAAATAAATTTTGTGTAAAATTAACAAATTTTTAATAACAAAATGAATTTTTTTAAAAGTAATTTTTACGTTTTACAGATGTAATAAGTCAAATGACGGTTCGAAATCTGTCACTTATGTTATATAGAATAAAATAATCAACATTTTATTCGGTAAATTTTAACAGATAAATCTTGTTACTAATAATATAGAACATATGTACTGTGTAAGATTAAAAAATAAGTACACATTGTGTCGTTTTAACATTTCTTTTCAGTATTTTATTAATTTTACATTTGAGGTCAATTAACACAAGAGCAATATGTTTTTCAACTGTGTGGTTAATATTGTTCTAACGCCGAATACACGATTCCGTAAATAGAACAAAATTAGTTGAGCATTTATTTTGCCAATTTTTTAAGTTGTCAATTTCATAGTTCTCGAAAAAAAAGAGAAGAACTCAATTTTGAGTGATGCAAAACAAATGGTTTAGCTACACTGAGAAAAATTTTCATCAGATAAACCAACTAGTCCTTCCGATGGTAAATTTTTCCGATTAAATTATGGATATCCGATGAAATTTATCGGTAGAGGAAAGTCATCTGTTATGAGATAGGCTTCTGATATGAGATAGTAGGTTTTCAATATCCAAATTCAATCACAAATCTTTTACACGATCTAACAATAAATTTTCTACTAAACAGATTTCACTCCAAGAGCAATAAATTCATAGTGGAACAAATAAATAATGTCTATTAATTTAGCACAAACCCTGCTATCTCTATACATATATAAGGGTAATTTATTTTAATCTTATTAGACAATTGTCTTGCAAACTGAGGTGTATGGTCAGGAAAGAGACAAATAATAGTAAAATGAATTTTCGAAAAAAATCGATGTTTCAACACGAAGGTTCTCGCTATTTTTCTTAAATGGAATTATATAACTTTTTACAACGAATACTTTAAAATGATTGACATCTGAACTAAAAAATATCTTTTTCAAATTTTATCTTGTCTCAAAATCTCGGTGACTACCTTTCAGAAGACATTTGAAAATGAATACGAGACACGCGTCCCGATAACCTTAGCATAAAAAGTATCCCAGCGGAAGATTTTGTGTTACAGTTTGCATGAAAAAACACGGGCATACATACAAAAAGTATTTATTCATTTTTTTTACCGAAACTGCCGCGAGTCGCATTATTGTGGCAAGTATGAGGCAACCTGGTCAGCACGTGCGCTATACAAGGATAACCTGGTCAGCACGTGCGCTATACAAGGGTAACGAATTCAGCGATATCCCGCGACGACGTGGAGAGCGGAGAGCAGGGAGCATGACAGCGCTACCGGCGCTACCCCTCGTCATCGATTATATGCGGAATCGTCTTGACCTCGCGAGACCCACACGACCGCGAGACAGACGCAATCGGAGATCGTCCCCAGTGAACCAGTGTAACGATACCGCAAATGTTGCCTACGTGCGTGCGTGCGTGCGTGCATACGTGCGTGCGTCGCTCTCATCTCGGTTTCTACGCGCAAAGTTCACGTCGCGCGTCAGGGCCGCATTCACCCCTCTAGTCGTCCCCGTCACGACGGTCTCTTCGGGAATATCCATTAAATTTCTACAGACGCACGTGTTCGCGAATTTAATATAAAATATTTGCAGTTAAAGTAAAGTAAAATATTTATTATCGAGCGGTAATGTAATTTGTGTAAATGCGCGAATAGCTGGAATTCTCCAAGGCATACACGAGGCTCGCGTGTGCGAAAACTTTTATATGTAATAACGTTTATAAATGTTTCTTTTCTTCCTGCCCTATCTGTCGTTCTTAGCTTCGCGAAATTGTTCGAGTAAGTACGTCGTCCTTAACGGTGCCCAAGTAGATCATGCATGGTTTATTTATACGTCTTCTAACATTAGATACATTTAGGAAACGTATCTACTCAATAAACACCAAGTGACAGTTACATAACATCAATATTATAACTGTAAAAATGCAACATAACACGCATGTCATATTACATTTACATTGTTGAGTAGGAAATGATAATATTGACGTTATGTAACTGTTACTTGGTGTTGACTGGGTAATTAGACAAATTTTTTAATTGCACTAATTGCTCACTTATAATTTTACATATAACTCTACACAATTATATATATTCACATTAAAAATTTTTTCATACAAAAGCATGTAGAAATCTATAAAATGATATATAACTGTAGAATTGTTGTAAAATTATACCTAAATACGATGTAACAATATGTATGAACATATTTTATGTATACTTTTATATAATTCTATATATTTATTAATGTTTGTTCATGTATAGATATTAATTTTTTACCGGGTAATTAGAAACGTATCTTCCACGTCAGCAATTTTTTGGTTACCACGTTCGGCGAACGTCTTTAATCGATAAAATTGTTCTCGATGCTCTTTTAAATCGATAAGACCGAGCTAATGTACGCTATTTTCTACGACAGTTTACTCCCATTACTCCGCAGGGAAGTACGGTTCTGTCGTCGATGGTCGTTGCATAACAACCCGCAGCGCACCGTCACGCACGCGTACATCGCGCAGCGTCGCGTCAGCGGGGCATGGGCATACCTCGTGCACGTGCGTCCCCTGGTGTGTCTGCGGCGCGCAATGCACTTGCGGTTTCGTCAGGAATCTCATGCGAACCCATTGTTTACATATATGAATATACATACATATATTGTACAATAGGCTTGTTTTTTGTTGCTACACTGGTAAACTAGTGCAATAAATTAGAGTAAGACACGTAAATTTTTTCTCATTCTAGCTTGCTGCGCTAGTTCACCAGTGCAGCAGTAGAAAACAAACGCTAGTGATGGACAGAATAGTTGCGGCACTTTTATAGAAACGCGCATTTAGATTCACTTTACGTTCCAAAATATTTTCTGTAAGGAAAATTTTACTTGAAAAGTAGATTGAAAACGCTCAAAATGGTTTTGGAATGGCCATCGAGTAAAATATTCCTCGGAGAAGAACATTTTGAAACGTAACCTAAACAAAGTGTCGCAACGATTCTGTCCATCACTGTACATACAAACGCGAGTACGAAGGGCTTTTCCCTTATAAGATAAGAAGTTGAAACCCGAATTTTTTAATTTTAATTTCTGATTGTTAATCAGCAGAACTCTTTTTATAAACTATTGGGAACTCTTAAGCTCTTCAAAAAGAAGCGGGAACTCCAGTCAGAACTACAAAATTTTAATATTGTGGGGCAAAGTTAACACACGCAGGGAAAGTAATCTCGGCTCGGTGAACTTTGACGTCTTTTTTTTTTTGCGAGAACCCTCTGTCGTCGCGAGAACGCGCGTTCAAGTCTTAAGATTGTCCCACCCCCTCCTGTCATAATAATAAATAACTCTGTCATTCTCTTATCATAAAGACCTTAGCAGAACGGCTAACTCGTTCAATTATGAATTCCATCTCGGTAATTTAAAGCCAACGGCACGCGATACTATCCTTCCTACCAGATTACTTACGAAAGCCAATCAGGATTTAGTTTTAAGTTGCCTGATCTAAAACTCTGCATCCTTATTGGTTCTCGTAAGCAATCAAGTAAGAAAAATTGTATCGTGTGCCATTGGCTTAAGACTCGCGTTCGAATACGTAACAAACGCGATACGTAACGAAGCTGTTCTCCTAGCCCGCCGCATTGCTGATTTATCTTCGATGGAATGCGACAAAATGTTATGTTGTTCGAGTAACAGGGAGAAAAAGGGAAAGGGGGAGACAGAGATTACTATACTCGGATTGTTCATGCTTTCTCTTTTTTATTCATACACATCACCTTTGCATGAGAAAAGTGATACGAGTAAAAAATACGAGCTTTTGCGTTTTTATAATTTATCAACGGGATAGTATGTACTTTTTTTAGCTCAAGTTTCAACATTCATGATTTAGGAGGAATTACAATTGCTGCATTTACTATTTAGATGCACATAGTAAATATACGAGGGTGAGTCAAAAATTATCTGCACTTTTCGTTCTACAATTTATTTACACAAAAATAGGGGTTCAATGTGTACACCATTTTTCAACATAGTCTCCTCCCTTGGCAATGCACTTGGTCTAGCCGTCCACAAGCTTGCGTATTCCTTCCGAGAAGAAGATTTTCGGTTGGTCGCAAAGCCACTTTTGCACCGCTTCCTGCAGCCCAGATCTTGCTCCCTCCGACTTTCATCTGTTTGGGCCGCTCAAGGATGCTTTGCGAGGTCGCCAATTTTCTACAGACGTAGACGTGCAGGAAGCGGTGCAAAAGTGGCTTTGCGACCAATCGAAAGCCTTTTTCTTGGAAGGAATACGCAAGCTT